TTATTTGCAACTAAAAACTTTCTGAATTGATCCAAGAAAAAGAAATAATCAAGCAGTTGTTTTCTAGAGTCCTCTACTGACAATGGTGACTACTACTAGAAAAATAAGCTCACTACCTTCCTAAATTCTCATCTACTTCTATTGCGTTACCGCAGTCTAAAAACCCTGCAGATGATGTTTCCAACAGTTCTGTAATATTTATTTTACGTTAAAGGGGAGTCATCACACACGATTCTCAAAAGGATTTTTGTGTAAGTTAGTTTAGTTTCAAATAGGGCAATGTAAGAAAGGTTTGATGCCTAATTACCACTAAGATTTTCTTGGGGGTAGGCAATGTTAGCCTGCGTTTATAGTTTTAGTGCCAAAAAGACAGTAACCCTAACATCACGTGGTCCTCCCTTTTTTTGAGATTCCTAGACTTCAAATTACATCTCAGCCACACCCCTCACTCTCTCCTTGCTGAAGTGACCCTGTTCTAGAATTTGGGCTAACATCTGAATAGGGGATTCCATCAGCAGGAATATAGGTCAGGAGGAAGTTCTAGTAGCTCGAGGTGGGAGAAAAAGCAAAGATCTCTTCCCCAGACACCAGGGGAAAGGTCAGCGCCTTCCCATGAAGGTAAAGTAAGGGACACAGCTCAAGGCGGAGTTGAGAGGAGGGCGCTCGCTGCCAGAAGACCCCTAGTCTTCCCACTCTTCAGGGCGACTCTCCCATTCTGTCTCGGAAGGAGACAGAGGGGGGCTAGGGCCAGAACCCGGCGCTGAGGGGTAGGAAGAAAAGGGCTGACGGCCGCCACCTCCGCGCAACTCACCTCCGCTCCTGAACCCACCCAATCGCGCCGGCCCGTGCCCCGCCCGTGGTGGGGCGGGGGGCGTGGGGCGCGGGGCTAGCAGGCGGCTCAAGTGGAGCCGAACCGCCGCTGCCCCGACCCGGAGGCTCTGGAGCCGTCACTACGGTCGCCGCCGGTTTTCCTCACCGCGGCCGCGCGAGGTGATGACGTATAAAGTAAAAAAAAAAAAAAACCAACCCAAAAACCAAACCCCTCTCAAAAAATCACCCCCAAACCCCACATCGCGCCCGCCTCGGTCACGTGACAGGGCTGTATCACGTGATCAGAGCCTGCCCAAGTCCCCACTTTGAGTTCCTTGATTGATGAAGTCTAAAAAGAAAAAGTCGGGACTAGGCGGGGGCGTAGGGCGTCAGCCTAGTGGTAAGAAAAAGAAAAAGAGCCGCAATGCAAACGCCAAGTGGTTCGAGCCCACCAATCTCTCGGATGGGGAGTTTCTCCTGCCGTTTACTGCCTCTGAAAATCTGCTAGAGGGTCAGCTATGGGTTGGTTCCAATTTCATAGTACACAACAGCAACAAGGCGGGGAGAAGCTAGTTGATGGAGGGTGGGCGGTATGTACTCAGCCCCTTCTCGTTATGGCTCCCGAGGCCGAGCAGAGGATTCCAAGAATTTCCAAACTCAGTAATGAGAATACTTTTTTTACCTGCCAGGAGCCCTCTTACATCGAGAAAATGTATGGAGACTTCCAATTTCAAGTCCATTGCGCAATGACCTTTTCAGGCTTACCACTGCTGTGACCAATCCGCTGAGCCCTGTAGCTCACCACCCTCAATATTCTCCACATCATAATGGGCCTATAATCCTACGGCTGATTCTCTTGCTTTCTCTGCCCCAAGATAATCTAGTGAAAGGAATTTATAACCCCTGTAAACTTGGCAGGGATCTCAGTGTCGTAGGAAGTGGCCCGGCCAATCTGAAGTCTGAACCCTCTGGCGATTGGAATCCTGGAATCTACCATGCGCTCCTGTAGTAGTAGAAAGATGGGTTGTCACCTACTGTGTGATTACTGCCTTTAAAAAAATTTTTTAAATTCTTATTATTGCCTTTGAAAAGCCATTGAGCGTTGCTGTGGGTTGGTTTTGACAGGACGGGACACATCAGCATCACCTACAGTTTCCATATTTACTTGTATGTATGAAAAGATGAATGAGAAGCTACAAAACAAAGCTGTAACTTATTTTTTAGGGGTGAGAGTAATCAGTGATTTGAGGCAGAGTCTGAGATTTTCCTTCCATTATTTTGTTAGGTCTCTTGAATTTTGAATCAGATGAGTTAAAAAAAAAAAAACAAAACAAACCTTACAACTCAAAAATAATCTCGCTTTCAGAATATGAAGAAGCACTTTAATGGTATTGCCAAATTTCTGTTTGCTAAATCGAGTTCTTCCAAGAACAAGAGGCCACTGAACAAAAGAAATTTTCTTTAGAATATGATATTCTTTTCCAGTGAATAAAGATGGCCAAGCTGCTGGCAAGAGAATCAACACCCTCTGAGGGAAACCAGTAGAGGGTTCTGTTTTCTGCAAAGTTACAGTCCCAGCAAATCTTTAAATCATAGGCCCTGTTGAACCAGTAATTCCTTCCCATACAAGAATACTCTTTACAGATATTTGGACATCTGACACAGCACCCTACAGCCCAAATATATTTTGAGTTTTTAAGGCCCTTTCTGGAGTCAACTGGTCAGGTCCCATACATCATCCTGACTTTATGGTTTGGATGGCTTGAGGTGGTGATTCTGACTGTACATAGCTACTGAGTTGTTTCAATGAGTAAAAACCAGGAATTTGCCATAAAACTCAAAACCAAGTACAAAGAATATAAATAGAACCTCTAAACCTGCCTGGCAAAATATACTGCATTTTTGCAGGTTAGTGTGGTGGCTATGAGGATACATTCTCCATTATGCATAATATGTAATGAATCAAGGGCTACATCTTTTAAGTTCATAGCTGAATTTGTGCCAAAGTTAAGGCCACACCTCCTAAAAGTTAGTCTTAGGGGATAGTGAGGCAGACATTTTTCATTAAAACTCTTGGTTACTAGATTTTCTTTCAAAGACTTCCACAAAACCACCTTGTAGACCTTTCTTTAGATTGCCGAGGAGTCTAGATGCCTCTCCAAACCTTCTCTTTCACTTGAGCATCTCCCTATCCCTGGACCTTTCGCAGTATGACATGAAATGGTACATGAAAAATACGAAACAAGTGTTCTATAGAACGTCATCTTTAAGAATCAATTTCCCTGGTTCTGTCTACTACTGAAAAAAAGAAACATACACACCAACACTTGACTTCAGATATGGATCAGATGTAATTCCAAAGTTTCTTTTTGATTCTACAGCAATAGTTGTAAACTCAGATGTCTCAAGGGTCACACAGGTGACTCCAATGACTGAAGCAGGCAAGGAGGGAACTGGAGAGCCTTTGAAATGGTTTTATATTTAGTACCAAATAGACTTGGACAATGAATAAGGGTAAGAGATAAAGAACTGATGTCTTTGAGTTGTGGTGCTGGAGAAGAGCACCGACCATCCCATGGATGGCCAAGAGAACAAACAGCTATGTCTTGGAGAGGGTGCAGCCAGAGCGCTCTTTGGAGGCAAGAATGATGAGGCTTCGCCTCACATCCTGTGGACATATTGCTAGGAGAGGCTATTCCTTGGGGAAGGACATGATGCTGAGAAGGTTGGAGGGTCAATGAAGGAAAGGAAGACCCTCAACCATGTGGATTGACACAATGACCTCTGCAATGGGCTCTTGTGTGTTAGGAAGTGTGAGGACAGTGCAGGACAGATAAGGATTCAGATCTTTAGTTCATAGGGTTACTATGAGTCATACTCGATTCAATGAAACCTAACAACCACCACCACACCAAATAGAACAACTATTTTTAGTTTTGCAAATATCTGACATCTTCACTCTTCTCCTCAAACTTTTCTTAGATTCAGTCATGCTACTACCTGTGTTGTGAGTTATTAATGAGTTATGGGAAAAAAAACCCAAAACAATTTAGCGAGCTCATCCTAGCATTTTTTTAGAAAATGAAATAACCTGATAGATTATCAGGTACAACTTGTATTGGTTTATAAAATGTTTGTTGTGATTCTGTCTAATTCAACATCTGTACCGTCACATTATCAAGCTTTTGAATTTTTGCCTGTCTGGGTGGTCTATCATGGTTTAAGTTACAGGTCCCTTACTGAGATACCTTTTCCTCTTGCTTCCTTGGGTGACTTTTTTTTTTTATTTTAACTTTTCTTTTTTATTATTTGTGTGTGTACCGTCAAATCAGATCTGACTGGTACAGGAGGAGATTGTTCCTCCTTTTCCAGCAGAGCATCTGGTGGATTTGAACCGCGTACCTCAGGGTTTGCAATGCAGCTTCTTGCCATTAGGCCACCAGAGATAGCCGAGTGACTTTCTTAAAAGGATTATTTGTGCTCTCAGTTGCACAAACTTTTAATTCACTTGAAGTGAATCTGACTTTAATTCCCGAAGACTCTCCTTCAAACTATTCATATTAATGAAAAGAGGTCACTGCCAGGCCTTATGCGATCCAAAGAACAGAACTCACATAAAATATAATTCAAAAAGGCACAAAAAGGCAGGGAATGACCCTTTTGAGACAACCCTAAGTAAGACTGTTACTGGAATGTGAACATAAAGGTCCTTGATATTCCTAAGGGATATATCCTAACACTTTTAAAACATTCTAATTCTTGAACACCTCATAATAATTCCTTTCATGTGCAATAAGTAGAGAAAAATAAAGCTCTATGGAGATACTGGAAATTCTGGTAGGTTCATTCACTGGCCACAATAGATAGCCTATCAGTGTCTGTGATTAAAATCTATACCTCTGTGGAATCTGAAGTTATTACAGGTTTTAGGTATTTCAAGTTTTATGCAAACTGCTGAAACTAAACCTTACATCTCTGAATGTCAACTGATTTTTGTACTTTCTTTTATTATCATCATAGTCCTCACATCAAGATACATAGTAATGATAGCAGGATTTTTTTTTAAAGCTTAGTATTAAATATTAAATATCTTTTCCCATTTTAACTTTACATCACTCTGCCAAGGGAAAAAAAAAAAATTAAAACTCAAGTTATTTGAAGCCAGGACACACTTCCATGATTAGACGGGCTATGTAAAAGTTGGTGGCTTTGTTCTTCCTGCTGTATAAGCAGATCCAGGCCCTAGAAAGATTGGACCAGGTTATAATTGTTTTTGAAAAGTGTGCTACAAAAACGGAGGGCCCATTATAAGCCAGGTTACAAAGTAAGGAGGGGTAAGGGAAGGACATTTTCCAGAAACAGAATTTCTGAAGAGTCCCAGTCTATCATTTTTTTTTTCCAAAATGGCTGGAAGAGGGAGTAAAATCTCAACATGAGCTTTGAAGTACTGTCTCTGTGAGGGGACGAGTCGCCTTGCTGGGGAGGGGAAAGGCTAAGACCACTCAATCCCTTCCCAGCTAGGAACAAAGAAGCATTGTCCAGGGGGTATGAAAATGGGCTGAATTCTCTAAGAGGTTTCTTCTAGAAACAGACAACTCGGACTCTTCCTCTCACTTCAGCAAAGAAGTTATTTTTAAAAGCACTTGGGAAGTTCCTCCTCCACCCCTTTGGGGGGAAGGCTCAGAGAAGGGAGTCATCAGTACAGCCACCTTCGAGGCCGTAACGGAATTCTTGAAGGTTGGAGACCCCATAGAAGTGTACGAAGGCTGCTGCCACCACCAGGACATGAAAAATCTGATGAGACTGGAACTGTAAGGATAAACAGAGACAAACATTTAGCTTTACTGCAGAGATAAGAGAAACAAGAAGGAAAAAGCATTTGTCTTTTCTAGTTCACCTTTCAAAGAATTTTTTAATGTGGTAAAAGTGATGCTTCTTGTAAAGATTTTAGAAACAGATTTTAAGTCCTGTTTAGAAACAGGATTTTAAAGATTTTAGTCCTACCCAAAGAAGCATAGTATTTTTCATTTATGTACATATATGTGTTGTCTCAAACACTAGATGGTTCCTATGTCTCTCAGCATCTTTACTCAGGTGTTTAACTTTGTGTTAGTCACATATACTAACAGGCCTCGCTGGAAGAGTAATTCCTTACCCATATATCAAACTTTCCAGGAAAGAAGCGCTCAGGTATTCGAGCAGCATAAAGGCCAGCTCCGGTGATGTACATCACAGCCATGAGGAAGAACCAGCCCATCTGGCCAACCGTGGTGGCCTTGACAAAGCCCTCAGCGATAGTAAAGTGCATGGTGGGCACCACACCACTCAAGCCAAGTCCCAGGAACACTCCTGAAAGAAACCAGACAGAAGACCATCAAGTATGGAAATAGGCACGTGAAAGACACTTTTCTCTGAAATGCAAAGCTGTAGGATAATTAGTTAGTTTTTGTTGACTAGCACATATTTAGGAAATTTAGTCAGCAGACAGGTAACAGTCAGTAAATGTCTCTTCCACATCCAGAATGGACTGTCTTAATGCTCACACAGCTATTACCTTTCAGGAACACCAAGAACAAATTTCACATTTCCCACAGTATCAAAATCCTACTGTTGTCAAGTCCATTTCTTATAATTAGCTGACCCTCCAGCAAGTTTTCAGAGGCTGTAAATCGCCACGAGGAGAGTGCCCATCTGTAGCAGCTGATAGATTCAAACTGCCTACTTTTGAGTTGGCAGTGCAACTCCTTATCCACATGGCCACTAGGTTGTAAACCTTTATGGCAGCAGACTGCCACATCTTTCTCCCACAGGGCAAGTGGTACGTTTGAACTGCCAACCTTTTGGGTAGCATCTACGCACTTAAGCACAGTGTCTCCTGGCCCACTGTATGTTAATAAATACAGACAAAAACAATATATTACAGGTATTTGTGTTACCCATTTACTTTTGGAAACTAGTGAATGTGGAGTAAAAAAGGCATAAATTAAAACTCTTTGCAGCCACTTTCTGCCCCTGAATTTGGTTTCATTGGTGTAGGAGCTGCATAAATTGACAGTTTACGGACCGAAAACCCTAACAAATGAGGCTGTTTATTCTGAACATTCATATGTATACAAGGAAATAATTCATTTTTAAAAACAAGAGGAGAGACTCAAAGTAGGATAATTATCATTGCAAAGAGAAGAAACCTTTTCATTGTTCAAAATAGTTGTTGTTGTTATGTGCCGTCGAGTCGTTTGCGACTCATAGCGACCCCATGTACAACAGCCCTAAACCCTGCTCTATTCCTGTGCAAATCTCATTGCCTCTGACACACCCATCCCAATTACCCCAGTCACTGAATCAATTCACCTCATAGAGGGTCTTCCCCTCCTGCGCTGTCCCTCCACTCTGCCCAGCATGATGTCCCTCTCCAAAGACCTGTCTCTCCTTACAACATGTCCAAAGTATGTCAGGCGAAGCCCCAGAATCCTTGCCTCCAAGGAGCAGCCTGGTTTAACCCTCTCTAGGATGAATCTATTTGTTTTCTTGGCAGTCCATGGTACATTCAGTACTCTTCTCCAGCACCACAGCTCAAAGGCATCAATTCTCCTTCTATCCTCCCTAGTCATTGTCCAACTTTCTGATGCATAACAAGTGATTGCAAAAACCATGGCCTGTATCAGGCACACCTTTAGTCTTCAGAGAGACACCGTTGCTCTTGAGTACTTTAGAGAGGTCCCTAACCGCAGACTTTCCCATCGCAATACGTTTTTTGATTTCCTGGCTACTGGTGCCAAGAGTCAAAATAGTTAGGTGTTTTAATAATTAATTTATAAATCTGAAGGGGAAAACAACAACAACAACAAACCAACCCAGTACATTAAGTCTTGTGATAATTGGCTTATGTATAGAACTAGATTTCAAGGCTCCATTTGGTTCTTAAGCTATGAAAGGAAAGCTTTACTATTAAGATCATAAAATAGTTAAGTAACCAGGATCCTAACCTCCTGACTTGGTACATAACTTGAACTGAGAAGTTGTCCACAGCTGCTGGGGCAAAATAAGGCAACAGAGCAAGGAAGAATGGATACTAGTTTCAACACTACCACCCTGAACTGTATGCAATTACCATCATCTTTGTGGGTATCCTTATTTAAACACAGAGCCTGGATAAATATTTAACTCTCCTAACTGAAGATAGGAGCACAGCAAGAGGCAGCAGTCAGAACAGAGCAGGGTAACACTGCATGGTTCAAAATTGGGAAGGGTGTACACCAGGGATGTATCCTGTCTCCATACCTTTTCAACATGTATGCAGAGCAGATTATCCGAGAAGCTGGGCTCTATGAGGAGAATAGTGGCATCAGGATTGGTGGAAGATCTATTAACAATCTGCGTTATGCAGATGACACAACCCTGCTTGCTGAAACTGAGGAGGACCTCATGCACTTGCTGCGAAGGGTCAGGGAATGCAGCCTTCAGTATGGACTGAGGCTCAATGTCAAGAAGACAAAGATTCTCACCACTGCACCAATTGGCAGCGTCAGGATGGATGGCGAAGAGATTGAGATTGTTCACAGCTTCAGTTTGCTCGGCTCCACAGTCAACACTCTTGGTACCAGCAGTCAGGAAATCAAAAAGCGTATCACGATGGGAAAGTCTGCTGTTAGGGACCTCTCTAAGGTACTCAGGAGACTAAGGTGTGCCTGATACAGGCCATGGTCTTTGCAATCGCTTGTTATGCATCAGAGAGTTGGACAATGACTAGGGAGGATAGAAGGAGAGTGGATGCTTTTGAGCTGTAGTGCTGGAGAAGAGTACTGAATGTACCATGGACTGCCAGGAAAACAAACAGATTCATCTTGGAGAGGATTAAACCAAGCTACTCCTTGGAGGCAAGGATTCTGGGGCTTCGTCTGACATACTTTGGATATGCTGCCAGGAGGGACGGGTCCTTGGAGAGGGACATCATGCTTGGGAGGGTGGACCCTCTATGAGATGGATTGATTCGGTGACTGGGGTAATCGGGGTGGGTGTGTCAGAGGCAGTGCGGTTGGCGCAGGATAGAGCAGGGTTTAGGGCTGTTGTGCATAGGGTTGCTATGAGTCCAAAACGACTCGACGGCACATAACAACAACAACAAAGTTTGGAGGCTCATGTGTGAAGTAGTTGGATTCTGGAAGACTGTTTCTCTTGTCTTGGTGAGAGTCAGGTGTGGACTGTTTGTTTTTTCTCTTTCATGATAAGATGTGTGTGAATTGATTGGATTTGCCAGATTTAGCTAACAATGAGCTGTGGGCTGGAAGTCAAACAGGACTTGGTGGTTGGGCCTTGAGGAAATCTCTAGTCTCTGGTGTTAATTGTGTTTGGGATGAACATTTTTCTAAATGGTACAGCACCTGGTCTGTCAATTCGCTGTACTGAGGTAACTTGGGGTTGCTGTGATACTGAACGCTGTACCACTGATGTAGCAAATGTGATAATGGTTACTCATTGTGGACAGTGTTTGGTGGAACTTACAGATTGAGAAAGGCTTGAAAGCACGAGTGGCATCCACTTCCTAAACAACATGTCCCTGTAAACTCTATGAATGTAGAGAAACGAAGATATAGACTAGGCTTCAGGTCTTTTGTTCACAGGGTCGCTCTGAGTTGTGCTCAACTTGATGGCACTTAACAACAACAACAAAGGAAAGGCAGTCCCTTCTATAAATATTTACAGCTCAGAAACGTGATAGAGGGCTGCTAAGAGTTGGAATCAAATAGACAGCAGTGGCTGGGGATTTTCCCCCATTATGGAACTGTAGACTAGTGGTAATTGCTGGTGCTACTGACAAGCAATATCATTTTAAATTAAGAGCCTAGATGAGACAACACAAATTAAGTATGTTTATGTGTCGCTACTACATTAGTTGTTACCAGTGTTTAGGGGTTTTTTTATTTACCAAACAAGAGCCTTATAATCCTTGGGAAAATGAGTCTGTTTTCATTTTTATCCTTTAGGTAAAGTGCTGAGGGGAATGATGTCACGGGGTGGAGGAGGTGGCAGACTGTAGCCAGTCACAGTTAGAGGGAGTGATGCAAAATGACCTCAGGGTTTGTAGGGACAGGGGGCTCCATTCCCTTTGGCTGTCACCGGTCACCAGACCACAGCACACATTACAGGACGAAAGAAGCACTTCTGCCTTAGCTAGGAAGAAAAGGGAATTGGGTGGGAGTGTGCGACACTTCTGGCTGAGGGCTTAGTTTGCTACAGTGGCTTTGCTTGCTATACTGTTTAACTGACTTCAACTATAGACAAGGCAGTGGTGCCAAGGCTTACAGTTAACTGCCAGCTAACTGGTAAAGATCTGCCCAGTTTGCACAGCATGAAGTGGAGAATATGACCTTTGAAGTTCCAGATTATTTTGAAAGTTCTCAGTATAAATTAGCGTTTGGGCAGCAAACGGTAGGGCCTCTTGAGCAAAAGGTCCAAAGATACCTCTCAGTTTACACTATGCATTGATACTCACCTGCTCTTGTCTGCCGATGCTTCGGCGTGGCAAATCGGTCCCACTGGGCCACAATGATGGCAGAAATGCCCAGGACACAGACAATGGAGAGGTAGATGAGCCGTGGCTGTGGTGAGCAGTAGAAGGAGTAATAGAGCCAGGGGACAAAGCTCCCCATAATGAGTAGAGCAATCCCTGAATAATCCAGTCTAGAAAAGAACAACAGGGTTGCAACAAATCAGTGGGGGAAATGAAGAATTTGCTTTAGTTCATTTAGCAGGCCTGGTCTCTAACCTGCTTCTAGTATTTGATAATCTTCAGTGTCCTCTCCTTACAACCTCATACAATCTATCCTGTCATCTGGGCAAGACAAGCATTTCTATTTTACAGTAAGAAAGACTTTAAGAATCCCTGATGACAGAACCGTATTCCCTGTCCTAAATTGTGAACGGTTACATTCCTCAGGTGGATACTTAAATTTAGGAGGCTCATCATGATCCAGCTGGTGCCCAGCACCACACTTAGGGAAGGACTCTGAAATACCTCCAGTTCTGACACACTGAGTTCTAAGCGAAACCCCTTAGACGAGGAATATTATCAAGGGGGACTTTCGTTACTGTGGGAAAAAAATAATCCACCACCATCATCAAATGGGGGGAGGGCACAGACTCCAAGAAAAAAAAACACAAACTGCAGAGTCCAGCTCAGAGCTGAAGAAAACACTGTGTGGTGGACATCTGTGGCTTCCAGCAGTGCATGGGCAGCAAAGATAAGCTTCAATTTAACGAGTGGGTGGGATTACCAGCAGAAGGAAGCAGAGAGTACTATACCACACCCTGAGCTTTGGCTCAGGCCAAGGGGAAGGTAAGCTAGTATTGGGAAGGATGTCTTGGAAAACAGACTGTTGCCACTTTAAGTTTTATAAAGGATGAGTCACAACATTGTACTATTGAAGGTAAAGAAACCCTCCATAACTGGACTCATTAACAAGGCTGCAGTGAGTTTTCTTGTGGAGGATTAAAGAACAAAGCTTCAGTATCCTGCTACTTGTACAACACAGAAAGCCATTCCTGTGGCACACTAGGCAAGGGGTCATGCTAATACACCGTCTTGCCCTCTGATGGATGGCCTTTTTTATCTTCATTGTTTACTGTCCAGCTTTTACCTATGAAGCAATTAAAAAGTAATATTATGGCTTGGGATAGGTGCACCTCAGTCTTTAAATGGACATCCTTGCTCTTTAACACTTTTAAGAGGTACATAACAGTAGATTTTACATGTTTTTTGATTCCTTGTTTTTAAACTTTGAAAATGTCCCTCTCTGCAATGCACCCTTTGTTTCAGACTTCTGTCATACATATAATGCCTAGCCCTTTATTCCTTTTGGACAGTTCTCCCCTCATCTATCTGATCTAATTCAGTGTTACCTATCTATCCACTCTTTTCCCCATTATCTCCCCTACCCTCTCCATGTCTGTCCTATTTTATAACAGTGGTGTTATGCAGTAGTGTCCTTTTGTGATGGAGGTATTTCACTCTGTATAATGTCCTCCAGGCTCCACCATATTGTGTCATGTTTTATGAGTTCACCATTTTTCAATGCTGTGTAATATTCCACTGTGTGAATGTACCATAGTTTTTCTATCCATTCATTTGTTGATGGGAGATGGATAGTCTTTTGACTCACTTGGAAAAAGTCCGAGAGACTTTCTCTGAATGACAATAGACGGTGTGGAAGAGCCAGGAGAAGCTGAGGCAGAGCACTGCACCTAGAAAGAACATTCCGAAAACCACCTTCTCCTGTAGTGGGGCCATGAAGTACATATTTGGTCTGAGCATGGTCAAGATTCCCAAAAAGAGAAACAGCACAAAACCTATGAGAAAGAAGGGAAGAGCCTGTGAGGAAAGACAAATCTGTATGCTTGGTCAGTGTCAGATAACTGATAGTATTAAATCAGTGCGTAACAGAATTACAGTGTGGGAATTGTGGTCCAAATATTTTAGGAAAAAGCAGCATCCCAAGGAAAAAAAGGACTATTATTTTGAAATGCTGGTATCTGGTTTTACAAGAACACAATAAAAAGTAGAAGAAACTGCCTCTATGTAGAATGGTTCTGGCAAGCGATCACAAGAGAACATCTAGTTCCAATATCTTCTGTTTCTAGTTCTTTCTCTTACAGACCAGTAATCAAGCTCACTGGTAATTTCAAGGTACAACTCTTGCTAGCAAATCACTGCAGTAACTTTGTTCTCCTTTCCCCTGGACAAAGCATATGTATAGTCCTTTGATATTTAAGAAGACAAGAATTCTCTCCATCCTAATCACTCACCAAGCAGATGAGTCCAGATGTTGCCAGTTTCTGTATGGATGCGGAAGATGCTCTTGAAGCAGGCCCGGAAAGAGGGCATGGGTGGTCTATGGCCATGCAGCAGGTAGTCATTGTCCTTCAGCCAGTCAGAAAGCACATCATATGAGATGACTCTCCAGCGTCCTTCCCAGACCTAGAACATACACACTCTCTAAAGGCAGGGCTCGGGAACACATTCGCTGGGGTGAGGGACAACCGGTTGAGGGTGTTTCTCAGCCTTTGGTTAGTCTAGGTAACAGTGGAGAGCTAGCCTGGCCCTGAAAGTAACTCAAGGCACAGCATGAGTGAGGATAGCAGAGGTCTGACCCAAATTTGTCCTTTTTAAAAATATCTTTGTCCTTGCTATGGTCATGTTAGTTCATCTGGATATGCTTACATAAAGGTTTCTCAATCTTTAGGAATATATGACATCATATTCTTTAAGCGTTTTGAAATTTCAAAATCAAATAAGCATGGCGAATTAAAACAAATGAAAAATGTAGATTATATAAACTGTGATTTTAAAAATTATTATTAAAAAATAAACATATATAGACTCCTCCTTTGCACTCTCCTCTAGCAGATTCTATTTGTTTTCTCAAATTAGATTCTAAGCTCTTACTACGGACTGAAACCTGAGTAGAGGTTCCTAAGCAAGGAACATCAAAAATGAACAGAATCCAGGGAATGGAGAGGGGAAAACGATTTTCATTCACTCCTAACCAAATTTAGCATTTCCCTCAAACTATAAACAGACAGCAAACCACATCAGTCTTAGTAGAATTTGTGACTAATAGAATTTGTCACTAATAGAAATCACAGATATTTTCATATATTACAATTTTGCAGATATGTCAAAATACTATTTATAGTAAAATATACGAGGGCTTATCATTTAATAAATAAATAAATGAGCCCAGTTGCTCAAGAAAGACATCATGTAGTAGGTCAGCAAAAAAGAGGAACGCCAGCTTCAACGAGATGGACTGGCATGATGTTCTGTCCTGTGGCACACAACGTCACTATGAGTCAGAACTGACTCAATGGTGCCTAATGACAACATTTACTTACTGTACCACTTTTACATATTTAATGATCATCAAAGGATCCACTGCACAAAACTTAAGAACTTCGATCCCCGAGTATAATTTTAACAATGCCTAGCACTGCAGGCAGTAAAAACTTAGCCAGCCATCCACCTATCTTTCTTTGACTTTCAATAAAACACAAACCCGTCGACAGGTGTAAAAGCTTTTCAACACAACTGCATGATTTGGACAGGAAGCCTCACTTGCTGGGACCATCCCAGCACCCCACTGCATTTCCCCGTTCAAGACAGAAGCCTTTGGCTGCACCTTATACACAAATTCCTCCATCTTCTCCATGGCGTGGTGGGCTTGCAGGGGAAGTGTCAGTACCCTCACCTCCTCCTCTTCTTCCTGGGGCACAGGGCATGTCTGCTCTTCTTCAGTCTGTAGGAGAAACACACAAACCAACCAACCAACCCTAGGATTAACCCCATAAACTATATCATCCAAGACCAAAGAGAGCCAGAGAAACTCAACTCAGGTTATCTCTCCAATACAAGGTCATGTGGCCTATCCCCCCAAAATAGCAGGCTGAGCTTACAAAAGAATAAAGGTTTAGTAATACGCTGAATGCTAGAGTAAAAGCTCTTGTCAGCACACAGGAGACAAGTCTGACATCTGAGAGACACAGGATTAAGTCTGAATAGCTCATCCTCTGCTCTAAGGCAGTGGTCTCAACTTTCTCCAGTTTCCCAAATAGTCCCCTCTTCCAGGCCTCTAAATTATCAATAAAGTCAAAGAGTCTCAGAAATTTAATTTTGTCCATGGTTCTCCAGAAGAGGATTCCAAGAAGCTACACTGACTATGCTGTACATCCACAGGAGCTCCCATGGGTACCAGGGCTCTAGAGCAGATTGCATGCAAAGATGCAGCACTAACTTCTGTGCCCAAAGGAACCCTGGCAGCAGCATGCATGCTGGCGAGCACTTGCCTAGCAAGGAGGGAGTTTCTCTCTCTTTCTCTTCTCTGATGATGATCCCGCATAAACAATCAGTCCTTCTTTGATACGTGCCTAACAAGAAGATTGTATTTCCTAACCTCTATTTGCAGCAGCAAAGGCTACATGATTGAGTTCTGGTCTGTGAGATACAAATGGAAGTGTTGTAAGGTACTTTAAAAGGGAGACAGCAGGCCCTTTTCCTCCTCTCCCTTCTTCCTTTACAGTGGCTAGAATGAGGGCATGACAAGAGAGTACATTAAGCATGATGAAAGAGCTAGGCAGGAGGCAGCTAGCTCTCTGAGCGCAGTAAAGTCTCCATATCAGCCTTGGATGGATTTCTTCCAGAATTCTCTTTATGTGATAGAAACTCTGACCTTGTTAAAGTGAGAGGGATTTTTATTTGTCTGCTACATAAAATCAAACCTAAGCTTTCTTCTGTCTCTGACAGCTTCTTTCACTCAGTCAGATATTTACAAAGATGAGTAAACTTGCAAGTTTACTGAGGGAGCAGCATACAATGAGTAAGAACTGGGATAGGGATATTGTCAGGGCACCATGGTTCCTCCTTTACAGGAGGTAAAAATCTTTACAGAGACTCTCAGAGGCCTTAGGAAGCTATTAGAGAAGTGAATAACTTCTCGATAAAATGACTCACTTTGGTTGGATTGGCGACTGCTCGTTTGCCCTTCTCTTCTAGCAGGGGTCCCAGTTCAGCCAGTTCCACTGTGTCAGTTTCCCTGTTACTGGCAGGCGCCCCATTGCCCTGTGCCACTGCAGATCCTTTGTGGGAAGACATCTGGCTGGTACCTCAATACCGTGTAGCTTCAGCTTGGGAAAAGACAGGGGCCTCTCAGCCCCAGGGGGCAGAGGTCTCCCTGTGGTGGTAGACACTAAAAGCAAACACAGACATGAAGGGTGTTAACAGTTTCTCTTGGACAGTAGTTTAATTTTTACAATTCAGTACTGAATAAAATAAGGTCCAGTTAAACCACGCACATTCTGTTTCCAACTCCAAAGACCGACTGCAGAAATGAAATTTTTCCTAGCACTTTACTATCACCCTTTACCCAGAATTCTACTAATCTTACAGATAAGGGCGAAATATATAGTATCTGGTTGCCTGCCTTCAAGTAATCCATTGCTGTGGCACCAAACTGTCAAAACACCCTTCTATGAGGACCACCTTCTAAAGGCGAAGATTCTAAACAGGATCCAGCCCTCCCTCCCACAGGTTTATATCCCATTTAGTGGGAAGAGTCTCACCTACCAGCCATGCTGCCAAGAAAGGACTGGCTATGAGACAGAAAAAAAACCCACAGCAAAAAACCATGAAGGCAACACCTGATTGCAATTACTACAAGACCTAGGCTAGAAAGGAATTAAATACCAACTGAACTCAGCTGGGTTTTATCTACAAATGCTCTGACCAATGTGCCTTGTAAACAAAAGTAGCTTGGTTAAGGGCGGGATGCCCAGTGGTTAATTTTTCCAAAGTCTACTAATTAGCTATTATAGGATTATACTTGTGGGTTCAACACTTGGGTAACAGGCTTTCATCACAATCTCCTTAACCCTTTCATGATTAAATAATTTTCTGCTTCAAACTTTTTGTTGAAACCATATGTTTCAGTAATTGTAGACACCTAGAATGAAAGGGAAAACATTTAATAATAATAGACTTTGATGAAATCTGGTTCACATGTCTCAAAGGGTCTCAGATGCAGAGGTTCATGACATGAGGCTTGTTTCTTCAAGTTCATATAATTATATAGGCCCTATCAGAGAACAGAATGAAAAAGTGGAATATCAGCTTCCCACAAAACTCCAGAGGCAGAAAACATAGGTGGACATCAAATGTCCCACAAGTCACTAAAGGGTTAAAATAAGCACTAGCTTACCTGGAAACAGGATGCTGAAGATAAGGCAGGCCTAGCCTTGCCCTCTGCCACACCCCCCTCCCCTACTCTGCAAGAGCAGGTCCTGATCACTGCACCCCAATTCAGATGAGTTTTTCAGAAACCTGATACATCGATGCAAATCCAGTAGGAGAACATAACTTGGTTTTCTAGGAAAAGTTTCAGAATTCTGTTATGATTTTTTGGCTCATATTTTAGACTGTTGCTGTTGAATGCCTTCAAGTCGAGCACGACTCAGCGACCCTATGAACAAAAGGCCTGAAGTCCCTCTACAATTATCAACATTTATCAACGTTCATAGAATTTCCAGAGGTATGCTGTTTAGGAGGTGGATGCCATTCCTAGTAGTCTTTAAACACAATTCAATAAAATTAAGAGGAGAAAAATGTTCAAAGATACCCACTATTTCAAAATTTCTTCATGGGAATTATTTCTTGGATAAATATAAGTCAGGTATCCTAGTGGGTAAGGAGTTGTGCAGCCAACCCAAAGACAGGCAGTTCAAATCCACCAGCCTCTCTATGGGAGAAAGATGGGCCATCTCCTCCAGTGCATTTACAGCTTCTGAAAACCCAGCGGAGGGTCAGCTATTGTTGAGTAGGTTCCAACTTGATGGCATATACAGGAACAAAAATATGTAAGTCAGGTAAGAGCAATCTAAAATTTCAGAGCAGTCATGCTATGCTCAACACACAAGCACTGCTGAAAGCAATAGGCAAAGCTAGTCTAAGAAAGTGAGGAAAGCAATTAACTCACTGGGTGGCGAGCCTTTAGATGTGTCATCACATAGACAGTTCCTCTTCCTTTAAATGTGCAAGACTCTAACAAGACAGATGCCAATACAGTCACAGTCAACAATTGAGCCCAAGCACAGGAAACGAGGCTCCTGAAAACCTCAGGCAACAGGCAACCCATGTGAGAAGAGACATTATGAAATCTTTTCCAGAAGGCTGACCACAAAACAAATTTCCTCAGAGTGAAGTATTACTGAATAAACGGCTTCACTGAGAAATAACTTTTATTATCAGCAAAAAAAATTATAACAGCTCTGGGCATTTTTTGAGAAAGCTGAAAAGGGGACCAGTTTTCAGAATATCGGCCATCAATAATTTAGAGGTAGACCACCATTTTCCTCTATCCTCAATCTTGTTCTCAGATCCTAGTATGGATCATAAAGTGATACACTGTCCTAATTTTGGTCAGGCCCCTATTTAAAAATGAATAAATGAATATATGGGGTGGCATTCTAGCTGGCAGTTTTATGACAGGCCACCACCAGCTAAGGGTTTGTGTACTTTTTTCTTGTGCTTGTGGGGAGCTCTCCTACGTCTTCCTTCAGAGCCAGTCAATAAAGTCCTCATATATATAATATACAGATTTAGTACTAATATCCTAAGTCATTCTAGGTTTCTGTGCAAAATACAAGTCTGAACAAGTTATATCATTTCCTTTAAAGAGCCTACAATCATATGGCTTAAGGTGGTTTATGATACAGACAAATTTCACTGTTCCAAGAGGGCCATAGAGGGAAACACTTCAACCAGTTCAGTTACTTTGAGTGTTGACACCATTTTACTAGAGGCAAGGATCATAGAGACAAACTTTAAGATAATCAGAATCCAGAATTCAGCTTAGAGCTCTTACTAATTTCCTTATTCGGTCTAAAAAATCTGTCTTCTGTCTTTAAGTCTAGTATTTTCTCAGTATAACTTTAGTCCCTTGGCCATCCTCGAAGACTTTTCCTTTTGGAGGCCAAATAACTTTCTGCCAATTCTTTTAACTCTCTCTAGAATCACCAAACTTATCAGATACTCTCGTTAACTTATAAAACAGCCATGAACTACAACTCAAAAGATAGGACAAAATGCACTCAAGTACATACAATAGAAGTCAATGAGGGGAGCTCTGGTGGCCTAGTGGCAAGGAGCTGCAACTACAATCTCAGAGGCGCACGGTTCAAATCCACCAGCTGCTCTGCCGGGGAAGGAGGGACAATCTCCTCCTGTACCAGTCAGATCTGATTTGACGGTACACTCACACATACAAGTAATAAAATGAAATTTTTTTTAAAAAAACCAAAAACAATAGAAGTCAATGGAGATCACGTTTTTATAGTGAGCAAAGTCCATTGTCCAGTTTGATCTTCTAGACTGTAGTAATATAAAGACACGAAAGGGAGAGAACTGAGGGCATAGCAAGAAAGAAGAGCAAATACTAAAGCTTTAACATACGTTCTCATGGGGGACCACTCAAAAACTGAGAATTACAACTGAGTGCTTTCTTGCTATTCAATAAAATCAGCACAAACCCTTACGGTGTTAAACTACTGATTCTGGGGAGCATTCAGAAGGGCCAAAATACACTTCAACTTTCTGCCAGCTTCCTAGGTCTTATTTATTTTAGAGGAAATACATTTCCTTTCAAAGCTGCCACACCCAACAAAACATATTATAATCAAGCCAAATTCTCCCGTGTACATTTTTGATGGGATTTCTTCAACTCAAGCTAATAAACCTTTACCACGAAGCTTTCCACGCGGATAAATCTAGGATATTAGAGAGTAAAGCTGTGGAGGCAGGGAGAAATCTGTGACCTGACAAATAGGCTAATCCTGTGCCAAACCTGGGAAAGGACCAATTCTTAATCACCAGCCAGTTTACTGAAGAATTTATTCCCTTTATATTTTTCGAAACATTTATTTTCTCAATTAGTTTTCGAGTTTTCCTGGTGATAAAGCATACTCTTTTTCCTGGTGTTAAAAATATATAAAACTTCTGGGGGTGGGGGTGGACAGAGAGGAAAATGTGCAACAATGAATGAATGGAAATCCAAGTTCTCTATAAACTTCATTAAAATATTATTTTTTTTTAAAGTATGTAAAACTAGGAGTTTTAAAAATTGGGGGCCTTTGTCTAAAAGACAAAGAACACTGCTATCCTCTCCTCTAATTCCTCCCTTTGTTAGATATCCTGCTAAGGAAAAACAAGATCTAAGTTTGAAAATTACAAAATGCAGTAATGAGATCCCAGTTCTCCTACTGATGACAAGTGTTACTGACTTAGACAGTCTAAGTGAAAAAATCATAATCTAACTTCTTTTGCACCTCTTCCCCAGTTTAGGCTACCCTTAGTTTTTTGTGGTTTTGATCCTGAAGAGTGACAGGTAAGATTTCTGAATACCTTGATTTTAATAATCAAGGCATATTAAAGAGTTTCATGCCAGTACCTATTTCTGGCAGTAGTGTAGAGGATTGTTCTTCCAACATAAAGGCTGAGATTCACAGGTGGTTCAAATCCACCAGCAGTTCTGTGGGAGAAAGATGAGAAGTTTCCTCCTACTAAGATTTGTAGTCTTGGGCACCCGATGCAGGATCACTTATGAGTCGAGACTGTCTCTGCAGTGAGTTTGAGTTTTTCAAGCTCAAAGGGAGCTTTGATGGGCATAGTTTGTTACTTGTGCCAAGTAATTGAACCAAAAGGTCAATGGTTCAAATCTATCAGCAGCTCCTCAGGAGTCAGATGGGCAGTCAATATCCTCCCCTAAAAATTTACAGGCTGGATAGAGAGTCACTATGAGCCAAGATCAACTTGACGGCAGTGGGTCTGGTTTTCTGTTTCAAACACATAGGCTCCCCAGTGGCAGGGTTGTGAAAGCATTGGAAAGTTAACTGAAAAGCTAAAAGTTCCAACCCATCAAACTCTGTGGGATAAAGATGTACAGTCCTGGAAACCCTATGGGGCAGTTCTATGGGGTTGTGAGGATCTGGAATGGGTTTGGCTTTTGGAAGTTTTCAAGCACTTTACAGATTACACACAGAGAATCAATACAATTGCACAGTGTAACAACTCAATTTGTGCTCTGTACCCTAGAAGTCCTGAAGAGAGGATGAAAGACACCCAAGCATTGAGGACTCTCCTTCATAGGGTCACTATGAGTCATCTGAGACTCGACAGCACTTAACAACAATAACGTCA